CCCCCCCCCCCCCCCCCCCCCCCCCTCTTTGAGTGAACTTTCATTCGGTCTGATTCACAATAATTTTCGAACGGTCACAAAGTGAAATTTGAAATGACATTTTATTTTAGTATTTTAAGGTCCTTCTTTTTTTTTCCCGATAGCCAGAAATGTTTTGGACGTAAAGGCTAGGTGTAGGTGTTTTTCACGACTCTGCTTGTAGACTGACCTCACCACCAGTATTACATCACGGACATAAATTCTTGTTCGAGAGGGTCAAAAAGTAACTGATTGGTCTCTGAAAAACGAAATGCAGTCACTTTGGGGCGAGCGGGCTATATAGATGATGAACGCATTGTTTATAACTCCATAACCGTATCCCAAAAGTCGAGCCAGCCCGGGGCGAGCGAACACAATCTTGGCGCCACTAGCCACGCCAGTATGTTTGGCGAGAAATTGGCTGATGAGCCAAATCTCTTTAACTCCATGACCATGCACCTTTCCAAATATTGCCCTTCTAATCATTGTATAGTTAGTGCCTCCCTTAAGCATTTTCAACTATTTTGATTTGTATATAGAAGACTGTTTCCATGACTTTAATGTCTCGTAAACAACACGTGATATATGTTCTGATCTCCCCCAACCCCCATCCATAACAAAAAATTTTCAGACCAACAGTGAAGGTACGTATAAAAATATGACCATCTCAAGGCAAGGTTCAGCATTGTGACTTACCACATAAAAGTCTTTTCGTTGTTTGCCATCGACTGATTCTGTTCTGAATACTGAGGTCCCACAAACTAAGCCACGTTTAGAAAGAGCCCGCCCTTTCCCATCCAAGAAAACCCAAGTAGCAATTTCACTAACGGACATAGGCCGTAAAAAAAGGGCAGCGTCAAATAGTTCATAAAAACACAAACGCCTCATGACACCTTTACTTCACTCTTTCTTCAATAAACTTATTTTTTAAGGGTAAATTACGTCAGAATGCGCGATCATAAGCATAGTAGGCTTATGAAAATAAAATTTAACCAATGCGCATGAAAGCGCCTATGACGGGGACTAGGCGGAATTAGGAACACCGTGCGTATCGCTGAAAAAATATTGGCTAATTCTCTGAATAGACTCAATTAAAACCGTTTTTGTTCAGTAAGGAGCTGTTAGATCGGGGAAAAGCGACATAAAGTAGATCACATCAGAATATGGCACAGGACTAGGCTCTCAAAAATTGATAAGCATGCAAGAACAATCATTATGTGAAACAAAGAAAAATTTCTTGAGGGAAAAACTTATGGCTAGGAAAAAGACTCGAAGGTAGAAAGTTAGGATCGTAGCTTCTTTTCAGGTAACATTTCCTCAGGCCCGTACATGCGTAAAAAAAATCCATCAAGGTTAACAAAAAACGATCTTCTCCCTGACTAAAAAAAAAAGCTTAATTGACTGGAAAGTGCTCTAAAAATAGATAAGCGACGATTATTTTTCTATATATTTAAAAGAAAAGCTATGATGACTTCAGCCGTGCTCCCATGAAGACCAAAGAAGCAAATATCACTAAGGCACCAAGCCAAGGGAAAATAGAGCAAAAATTTCAAATTTTTCCCTTGACGAAAGCACTATGTTACCTGTTTGACACGAACCGGACCTATGAAATCAAGGTTAACTTCCGAAGTGACAAAATAAATCTTTCATTTTTTTCCCTTTTTTCCAAGCAAATGTGCAGTTACCGTAAATGATCGATTAAGCGCAGCTACTCGAATAAACGCCGCTACGGAATAAGCACCGAAGCGCTAATTTGATTTATAAATAAACGCCCCACTTTTGTTAGACTTGTTACGGCGCTTGATATAAAAAGACATCAAAACCATATCGCTTGACAAACAAGACCACGACCCAATCATGAGTTTTAAAGCATTTTAATGTACGGGAACTTTCGAAATCAGGTTCATATAACAGTTCGAGGTGTGCATATTTGTCCTTTTTCTTGCCGAACTCTGAGTTCTCTCTATATTCCTCTTAGTGTTTTACCCGCAGTTGAAATAAGCGCCCCTCCCTAATAAGCGCCGCACTTTTAACATGGAAAATGAAATAGGTGCCGCGACGTTTAATCGATCATTTACGGTAACTTCGGATCTCCGACGGGCATATCGGAAAGACTGAAAACACTCAAACTAGATGAGAGTATAACACATTCAAGAAGAAACAAATTTGAGATTTTTCACAACTCGATAAAATTACTAAAAAAACTAAAAATGTGTACTCCTATTAAAAATACAAAATTTTCTTCTCAATTTCAATTTTTTTACGATGGAGCATTACCCCCGGTACTCACTAGTTGCTTCACAATCTTCGTGTTAAAATCAGAGAAACACTCCATTTGCATGGCGTACATTTTGAAGAACATTTGAAAACAATTTGGATTCCTACCCTTATACCTTCATTAAAAATTAAAGTTGGGTAGTTTGTTGTTTTCTAAAAGTAGTTTGAACAGCCGAACGACATTGTTTACACGGAGTGAGAAAGGTAAACCTTCACTTTTCCCTTCTTATGTAGAAAGTGTCAGCAAAATGTGAGAGCCGTCCTTGAGGGCAAAGTTTCTAACCTAATTTTCTCACCGATTGCAAGTGCCATTTCATCCACGCACAACCTCACCTAGTTAACAGAATTAGCGAATGTAATGGGGAAACGTTGCGAGAGAACTGAGTAAGAAGTTAGGGTAAGTTTTGAGAATTGAGCGCACACCTGGAAAATCCTGGCTACGCTCCTGATAGAGACGCTCCTGAAGACGCGAAAGGAAAAGCCATAGCATAGTTCCAGACTGAACCGCCCATTAGTAAAAATAGATCATGAAGTTGTCGCGGCGGAGGATGAACTTGAAGGCTTCTGATCAAGTGCAATTTTTCAAGGGAGCCCAGACAAGATTGTGTACGATGGGCACAGCTTGTTGGACGTCTTACTAACAAGCACATTACCACTACTTGTCTTCAGAGGCGGTTTTTTTTGCACCCGTCTTTGAAGCGCTTAAACAAGAATCTGTTCCTAGTCATGGAGTCACAGAAAATGATCAACTCGCGCAAATACTCAGACATCCAAGAGGAAAGTCAGCAAGCTGAAAGTGAGGAAAATGAAAATAGCGAAGCAGAGAGCAAAGATGACAGCAGAGGGATTGATTTACCGGCAAGCAATGACGAAGAGGATGAAGAGATTGAATCGGAGAACGAAGAAGACCGCGCCTTTCTCGATGATAAGATACAAGAACAGGAAGACGTCTCCTTTTATAGAAGATTTCATGTAGAACTCGATAGAGGCATAAGACAAGAGAGAATACAACAGCGACAAGAACTGGCCATGTATGAAGACGTGTTGTTTGGACAAGAACAAACCAGTGACAACAAAGTCTTGAACGAGCTGGATGAAAAACTAACAGAGTACCTCAGAGAACTGCCAGTCTTGGGCTTCAATTCTGGGAAGTGCGATCTGAATGCTGTGAAAGAATTTTTATTTCCCTACCTCATTGAGACTCAACCAATCAAGTTCACTGTGAAAAGAAACAGCATTCATATGTGTATCAAGACAGATTTTCTGAAGCTCCTGGACATTTTAAACTATGTTGCGCCGGGATTCAGCTATGACCAGTTTCTAAGAGCGTATGAATGCGAGCAGACCAAAGGTTTCTTCCCGTACGAGTGGGTCGATGGGTTAGATAAGCTGAGCGAGACATCACTACCCCTCTCATGCTGCCTTCTATTCATCTCTGAAAAACACCAACATAACAGAACAAGAATATGAGTATTGCCAGCAAGTGTGGGAAGAAAATAACATGAAGACATTTGAAGATTTTCTCGTGTGGTACAACAACCTGGATGTGGTGCCGTTTGTAAAAGCGGTCGAGAAAATGAGTCAGTTCTGGCGAGAAAGGAAGATTGATATGTTCAAAGACGGCATCTTGGTCCCTGGTTTGACCCTCAAGTACCTCTTCTCATACCTCTCACCTCAAACTTACTTTAGTCTCTTCGATCAAGCGAACAGCGATCTCTATCACCTTATTAAAGACAACAACACAGGCGGCCCAAGTATCGTCTTTCACCGATATCATGAAGCAGGAAAAACAAAGATCAGAGAAGCAGAGAAAGGCCAGGCTGCTAAGCTGTGTGAAAAAATCGTCGGTTACGATGCAAATGCGCTTTATCTCTGGGTTCTGACGCAGAACATGCCCACGGGAAGTTATACGAGAAGGTTGGCGGAAAGTCAGTTTAAACCCAAAAGTTCTGTACGTATGGCTATTGAATGGTTGGATGGGTGGCGCACAACGAGGGAATTCACATCCGACATCAGTTAAACAGCACAGAAAAGCGCATCGGTGGTCGTAAACTGCCTGTAGACGGTTTCAACGAGCAGACGCAAACTGTGTACCAGTTTCACGGGTGTTATTGTCACGGCCATGACTGCGCTCTGAACAGAGGAAAGGAGTTCAACGACAAACAAAACAAACCCATGGGTGAGCTGTTGGAAGAAACCAGAGCCAACACCGAGTATATTTGCAGCAAAGGCTACAGCGTGGTGGAGAGGTGGGAGTGTGAATGGCGGCAAATGAAGAAAACGAATCGTGAACTACAGCGATTCATTGCCACCGAAGTCAGGAGAACCTTGGATACGATCAACATTATGAGCCCGGAGCGGATATTGAGCGAGGTGCGAAATGAGCGTTTCTGCGGATGCGTGGAAGTAGATATTCGTGTACCAGATCATATGAAGGAAAAGTTAAGTGAAATGTGCTCGATCTTCAAGAACACAGAAATCAGCCGCAATGATATTGGGGACTTCATGCAAACTTATGCAGAAGAACATAACATCATGGCCCAGCCTCGGCGAAGCTTGACTGGGAGTATAAAAGGGGAAAAGATCCTGCTGGCCACACCCCTCCTCAAGTGGTACCTGGAACATGGTTTAGAGGTCACCAAAGTGCACCAAGTGATCGAGTTCACCCCTGAGCCCTGTTTCAGACCTTTTGGGGATGCAGTGTCAGACACGAGGAGAGCCGGAGACGCGGATCCCAGTAAGGCCATCATTGCAGATACCATGAAACTGGTAAGTTTTTGTCTCATTCTTTCATTCAGAAAGGGGTGGGAACAATATACATTTTCACGAATAGAAAAAAATCTTATATCTTTGTTTATTCTCAGGTGGACAATTCTGATTACGGCAAGACCATCACTAACCAGCTGAAGCATATGAATCTGGAGTACTGCAGTGAAGCTGAGGCCAGCCGAAAAGTGAACACCCACCTTTTCTGTAAACTAGAAAACATCACTGAAGATACTTATGAAGTGCAGTCTTGCAAAAAATCCATTAAGTTAAACTTACAGATTCAAGTCGGTTTACAATTTTATTATGATTTTTTGGATAAATATTTAGATCGTGCAGATTTCCAAATGTGTGAAATGGACACGGATAGTGCGTATATTGCCATTTCAGGGGAGAGTGTAGAAAGTTTAGTCAAACCAGAATTGAAAGCAGAGTTTGAAGCCGATAAATGTAACTGGTTTCCCCGTACGGATACACCCGAGCATAAGGCCTATGATAAGCGAACCCCGGGTGTTTTTAAGGTTGAGTGGAAAGGGCAAGGAATCGTGGGGTTGTGTTCCAAAACCTACTACTGTTTTGGGGCGAAAGATAAGTTTTCTTGCAAAGGAGTTAACAAGAAAGTAACGAGATTAACGAGATTAAGATAAATATTTGAATGTACTATTAACCAAACAAAATAGTGCTGGGGTGAATCGGGCGTTCAGAGTTGTAAATAATACTATGTATACCTACACTCAAGTGAGAGATGCATTCTCGTATTTTTACCCGAAACGAAAAGTTTTGGCTGATGGAGTCAGCATCACTCCACTCGACATTAAAGTTTTCAAGTTTGTAAAAATAGATTTTGTAAATAATTTTCGTTTTCTCAAGTTTGTATATATATTACTCTCAAAAATAGTTTTCCGAAATATTTACATAAGATCTCCTCTAGTTGTAAATAGTATTTTTGCATAGCTTTTTACGGATGTTTGTACATAGGAAAATAGTTTGTAAATAAATCATTGGTTGAATTTAATCGCGGTTTGTTTCCTGACTCGACGCGTACGACTTACACGCGAGTTCTCCACGCGCGCACAGGGGAAAAAACACAACGCTAAAATGTGGCGTTTTTGGCGCTTTTGGCGTTTTTGACTCTCGTTTTGTGTTAAATTAAAGATAAATTTTGTGTTACAAACAGTTTTGTTCAGTTGGAATCAAACTTTCACAGAGATAACATGGTGCGGAGGAAATGTAAACATTGTCCGCTACCAGGTTGCGGGTCAAAATTTTTAGTTCGATAGCAGATCATTTAACTCGAGTCCACGAGTTATCGGGGATAGAAAGGAAATATTGGCTTCAATTTGCTAAACTACAAAACACCAATGTGGTTCGTGTTTACAAAGCGTATGGTTCTCGTGCCCAAGAACACCTTGGAAAGATTACAGCAACGTCAGCAGATTTTAACCCCACCCGTCACACAAACTCTGAGAAACTTGGATAGTGAAATGACTGATATTTTCACATGAAGAGGTTGACCTTTTCGCTGATCGTAATAAGTCAAGTACAGCTGCAACACTTGATTGTAAAGCCTAGCTTTTTGTTCATCATCAAGTTCTTTACCCACACCCGCGTTAACATCCCCTGGCATCAATAGTAAACGAGAAAGACTAAAGACAATTGTCTATTTAAACTTAAACTGACATAAACTTCAGGCAAAATATACTCATTCTCGCGCTGATAAAATTCGATGGCTTGATATCTCCTATTGTCCTGATTCGTTTCAATCTGTGGAGTAGAACGTTAAGTAAAGATTAATGTACACTCGCTTCAGTAACGTGGAAACTAAAACAACAATAAAAAAAGATCAGCGAAGAACTAAGATGGAACAGAATACTTACTGGTATCTCTTGGGCAGTGAGTTCCGACAGCCGAGCATACACCATTGGGATCCACTCATCGGGTATCAAAATAGACTGGATCAAAAGTTCCAATTCTTGGGTTAAGGAACAGGCATCCAAAAGAGCTTGAAGCTCATCAACGTTGGTAATAAAAGCCATGATATCAAAAAGTGAATAAAGGTTTTCTCAAACACGCGAACTCGAACAAATTTTTTCCTTAGCAAAGCGATTGCAACAGTAATATGCTGAACGAAGAGGGCGCTTTTATTTTGAGACATAATAGATTCTACATGAGCCAATCAGGGTTAAAGGAGACCGGGCAAGTCTAGGCAAGCCTATTGTTTCTATTGAAGTAGAGAGACGCTCATTAAAAAACCTATACCGAATTAGTATGCAGGAACACACTGACTAGGCACTTAATTAGTATGGAGGAACGCATTTTTTCTCTAGGATAAAACAATGGGTGACGTCATAGACTCGACCCTTATGCATACCTATACCTTTACCTATACACCAACGAGGCTTATCTTTGCTGAGGCATGACTACTCGAGCAGCTTTTTTCAGTTCTAGCAACTTTTTGCATTCTGAGCAATTTCTCTAGTTATCTTCTAATTCCGAGATATCGGAGAGGTTTTTAGTGCTTAAATTGGTCTTTCTTCCATATTTCACAATGTTCTAGTAGACAATTTATGAATTTCGAGTAAAAAAGGAGCCAAATCCTCCCCCCCCCCCCCGGGGCCAGCTAATGGCCGCAAGATAAAAGAAAACGGGCGCCTAAGCACGTGGTTTTTAATTAAAATTCAAATTGGTGGCCGAAGATTCTCCTGTTTCTCCCTCGCCTGCCTTGAGTATCTCGGGGGACGGCCCTTAACCAATTTTTTTGGTTCATTAAATTTTTTGGTTTTTAACCCCAACAAAGTTATTTAGCAACGCTGGTTACACCGCAAAATTTCAGAAAAATGCTTAGAAATCTTACTTTTGTTGTACAATTTGCATATTTTAGCACTAGACCAAAGAAGGTTTTGTTTTTCCAAGCAACTTTTGAGCAGATTTTGTTATAAAAAGCATCTTTTGATTGTTTTTTTTTTTCAGCAACTTTTGAGCATCTTTTTTTTTTGAGAAATTAAAGGAAACTTTTTGGAGAATCTCGAGCAACTTGTGGGAAACCCTAACGAGGGTTATAGAACGATAATAGAATTGAAAACTAAAATGCAATCGTTTTTAGTGAATGACAACAACTTGTGGGTAAAAATGTTCTATATCTTTTCTATTGTATCACCTTGTTTTCTCAGTAAACGAAACGCTTTCCTTTCGATGGAGATGCCGCAAATTCAGATTTAGAATCCTTTTTACTTCTTAATTAAACTGATAGGTAAGTGGCTTTGCAAGAAAACCTAGCTTCGCTCATAGGCGAAAATTTGTTTACATTTGCTTATCTTATCATTCTCTGATCAAGATATTAAAAAACAGGTCTTAATATTTAAAGGGCATAACATTACAAATTGCTTTCTTTTTTATAATCAAACAAAAGCGCAAATTTTACTATTACTGTTATATGATACATAATAGTGCCCCAGCCACAGCGAATAATTGTACTAATATGTTGCCAAAATATTTTTAAAAATCATAAAAAGCTAGAAAGATCGATACACACTAAGGTTATTCATCCTCTCTCGTCTCCGCAACTTCCCAGCTACCATGAGAGGTCTTCAGATCCTCGTACGTGATTCGCATGAAAAAACAGTCAAGACAAAGAAATGCGCGATTTACTTACAAGTAGTATAATGATGACAGGTTTGAAAATATCCCAGGCAGAAGCTGATTGATCTCGTTGTCCCACAAAACCCTACAGGAAATAAATGCATTCATTGACTTAAATTTGTGAATGATTTACGATAGCGAATGGGCAATACGACTCATCACACTACCAAGACTTGACCAACAGTTCGAAATTTGTATTTCACTGTAAAGGGCAAACCAGACTTTTCACACCTTAGATCTGAAAGTCATTTCTTCTTTATTCTCAACAGAGTTGAATATAAATATGGGTTTAATTAAACTCATATTAGCTAATTAACCAACAAACCTGGAAATTGACTAAATGCGTTTGCTTAAAAGGATGCTAACAGGGGGATTCATCCCTATCTGATCTACACAGATAAGTTACGGTAAAACGTGCAGCTTGTTTCTAAACAATAAAGCTGCAAAACGAGTTCAATGGCGGTGTTGGGCGTTATACTGCGAAAGTAGTGATTAGTGAGTATTGAGTAAATGTTTTTTGCAATAAAATCTGTACGTGTTGCGCGTTTTACCGACTCAGGGTGAACTTCTTTTGCAGCGAGTGATGTAACTTCCGCTTGTGGCGTGATTCCGGCGTAATTTTCTTCAATCAGAAGTCAAATTTCACGCAATTACTAACAACCTAATTGTTGCAACACAGGCTTGAACGTGGGTGATAAAAAGCAAAACATCACTTTCCTATTCCTTTTGCAGCATATTGTTGCAAAACATAACGCACGTTTTTGCTGCAAGAGACAGCTTCTTTTGCATGACTTGTCAAGCAAAAAGAACTCATTTTTTTTGGTTTAGAAAACGTTTGACTTAACTGAAGAAAACTCTTATGCGACTTTCCTCAATCACACGACTTATAGTAGGAGATGTTCACTATATGCTGGAGACGTTGTTGCTGACCTAATAAAACTGGGGGTGAAAGATTTCAAAGAATCTTTTCCTTCTTTATTATAAAATAGAAGAAATGTTATTGAGGCAGTAAGTAACTCAACGATTTTTTGACTAAGAGTTTCAAGATGAAAGTGATTGCCGGCCTCAAATAGTTTAAAACCGGGTCTAATGGGTTTACCAATGGAAAATGATTTATTGGCTACAACTTCGGAACAGATTATGGAGCCGGAATCAAAATTTGGCGCACAAAAGTTATTGTTGTTATCATTTCAAAGTATAAATGTTGTGTTAATAGATCACATGATATGTCATATGACCATTTTACTAAAAATATTACAATTGACAAAACTGGTGGTGGGTTTAAGAAAAGAAGTCAAGTAGTA